CAGTCGATTTTTGGTAAAAAAAAAAGAAGGTTATACACTACCTTTTTTTGAGGCCCGAAAAAAAAAATTGTCTCAGATCGACCCGGAAAACAAATTTTCTTATAGAATGTGGCCTGTAGAATCCATAATTTCAAACAGTTCCAAGATTGGGCTACTAGATCAATAGTGTTTTGCCGAGAAATTTTAGAGTAGTCGATTTTGGTAAAAAAAGGAAAGTTAAGTATTCAAATACTATGCGAAGTATTCGAATACTTCTCAAAGTATTCAAATATCTTGCGAAGTGTTCGAATACTTTACAAAGTATCCAAATACTTTGCGAAGTATTCGAATACTAAATATTTGTGAAAGTATTTGAGTTACAAATTCAAATACTGCTTCCATAAAAGTATTTAATTACAAAGTATTTGAATACTTTAAAGGATTTGAATACTAAAAAGTATTTACAAAATCCAATACTGCCCAGCTCTGCATAGAGTAAATAATTACTCTATGCCACAAATTAAGAAAGATTACAGCTTAAAAATTTAAACCTTTTTTTTATCCGGCCAAAATAACATTTTTTAACAACGTTTGTCATCATATTCCAAGCTCTCGTCACTGTTTAAACAACCCCACGTACAGCTTACTAATAGGTACATACGTATACAAATACTAAAAGCCAAGAATCGGAAAAGTTGGAACAGCTAATAAGAAATAAATGAATAATACAGACTTGTTAATGTACTCGTTGATTCTTAAACTTTTAATAACATCATACCACTAATCCTTCGCTTTTCTACAAAATCACAACCCCAAACGACTCTACCAGGAGAGGTCATTACGTTAGTATCGTAAACACGATTGTAAGCGTTGAAGTGGCAAGCAAACTTCAGCGTCTTCATTATTATGGTTATAGTTACAGCCTCGTAGTGCCTCGAAGCGTATTTCTGATATTGATGGGTAACGCCACCTGACACCTACACATACACATTACCGACTGTCATCTGCCTCTGATTACGGCGATGTGGTTATTTGCACATGCTACCTTCTGTTAATACATAATGCAAACATAGCTATACCGTCTGTGATTTTTATACACGCCCCCAATTGCTGCAGTGGTGTTACAAAGTCCAAATTTAATCAAACCTGGATTTTATACGGGGTGTTCCACGACAAGCTTCATAGATGAGAAAACAAATAAATGTGCTCGTTCCAGCTACAGTTATTTCACAGTATTTGACAATTGACCTACAGTTTGTTTTATTTTTTAAATTTAAATTTTGATGTAATTTCTTACGTGGTAACAGACTTAGGGAAAGCTACTTGAATTTTTTCGCTCACTTCAAATACCCCTAAAAGAATTATTTCATATTTAAAAAGTATCTTCAAGTTAGGCCGTGTAGCTATATGACTCAGTTGACTTGAATTTCAAAAAGTCTTCCAAAATCAACAGTACGGACTTGATGCTATATGATAATCATTTAAATTTTGATCGACCTTCTACTAAAACTAATGGTCAATTTGGTCAAAATGGAACATGCTTTATTTTTTTGCACTTTCAAATGGAAAAAAATTCTACATCGATCCATTATTACATTCCCTAAACCTATCTGGTATGTTTTCCGTTTTCTTTAAGATTTTTTAAAATTGATATCATTATGCATCATTTTCTCATCAGGAGGCCTTAAAATAAATGCGTAGCAGACCTGTCAGACAATCGTTTTATGGTGAAAATTGATATCATAAGAACCCTATTTAATTGAATGAATAAATAGTTAACAAAAGATGACATAATAAACAGAAACAAGATATAAGAACAAACGACAAAATAAAAAACGAACATCAATTTTCAAAAATGTTCGTCAAAGACATAACATCATGGGTAGAATGAGCTGGCGCTCCGTCAAGTTCAGCCAGTAGGTTTCCGCATGTAAAGTCTCCTATAGCGGTACAATAAGATCTACTAACGCATTTACTAAGGACTCCTAAGAAAATTATGCACAACGGTCACATCTAAGAAAATTAAAAATAAAACCGAAAGCCTAACATATGTAAATTTTCCAGAAATTGGTTTAGTACGCATTGCATAGCCCTTAAATTAAGCTACGTCTGTGTACCTACTATGCATTCCTAGAGTGTAAATTTGCCCCTTGCACGACAAGAGTTTTTAATTCCAAATTGTTTATATTCATTCTATAAATCGCACCTTCTATTCTTTTTTGGGATTCTTTGATTGGGAAACCTTGTTAACCCTTTTGCATAGAATCTTATGGGGTGTATACGAGTGGACGTGAAACTCAGCTATTCATTTTGTATTTTGTTTCATTCAAAGTTGCCCGATCTCGTCCCTAATTAATTTCGAAATGGATAATTTAATAGTCCTAACGCGAATCAAAACACTTTAGTCATTCAATTAACCGTCTCAATTCAATACATATTCATTTCGTCCTTTTACATTACCCTCATTACGTTTCAACTTGAATTTAGTTACCTATGTTAGGCAAAATTGATCCTTGCTTTCGTAGCACAATATAAAAAGGGTAAAGCTTTCACTTCAATTTTTAGAGAAATGAGTTTGCACTCACTTGGCGTATATCTAATTAAAGCATCAAAAGAGAGCCATCGCATTTTTCGACGCGATAACGATAATATTACCGAAATAGGATTATTAAAGGAAGGAGTTTAAATAAAGTTAAAAAAAACATCATAAATTTTACGAAAGCTGCCTTTAATATTCCTGACATGTACGGGAAGTGACAATTTAGCCGTTCCCTCACTCCACCTTTAAAGAGCTTTTTCCGCAACCATTTTTGACAAAACTTCGTTCCGTTACGAGATTGATTTATTCTAGAACGTGCCTGTTTTTGATGACAAGCGTAATGGTACGATCTTTGGAAGGGAAATGAAACTATTTAATTAACTTGACGGGCAATTCTGCTCCCGTAGTTTAGAAAGTATTAAGCATAAACACTAACGAACCATTAACTCCCTCCCGTTATTATTAAATTATTATTAAGGGATTTAATTAACTCGACTCATACGGTTCATTATGAAAATTAAGTAACATTAAGTTCTACGTTTTTGAACGCTACGGGCCGCCTACAAATGTTAAAAGTTGGAAAAAATAGGGTGCGAGAGTGTGTATTTCGATCGCTTGAGGTTCGCCTCGGGCGACAATTTACACTCCTACGCTCGTGCTTGAAATTCGGCTTCCGATACTAATCACATTTTGTTCAATCAAATTGAATGCCGATTTGACACATGCTCCACACACGAGAAAATGTAGCTCGAACGCAATTGAGAAAATGGCGAAAGTTTTACAGGTGTTGTACCTACAAACATTCACTTCTAAATTGCTTTTGAAACATTGTTTCCTTCTGTTCATTTGGGGTAAAATGCATCTTATAGAACGAAACCTAACGGACGGAAACTATAAATATATAACAATACCCCTTAGATTTTTGAAAAACCACTATTGAAAAATACCAAAAGATATTTGTAAATCAAAACATTTTCTTTATAAATATCATGCATATTGTCTAATACATTTTGTATTACCTACCTTGTGACTGTAACTCAAAAATGGCTACATTTACGTTTCCTTCAGGAAGGCAATTCCTACATACTCATCCCTGACATGGTCTCAATCGTCCCGACGTCTCCTATACGTTTCTTTAAGAAAAAGAACTAAGTTTGAAAAATATGTTTGAGGAAGATGAGAATAAATGAAAGAACTTTTTAGTTCCTCTTAAGGGATGATACGTGTAGATTTATTAACAATCAGAATATCTTAACATATCCTAGCTAATCATCCCATAAATACTGTCGCTTCTCCGCATTACGTTTCTTTAAGAAGGGCGCCTGAGTGGAATGATTAAACTTAGTAAAGTTAACCATAAATTTAAAAAACCCTCTTTTTAGCTCCTGGTACGCGATAATTCTATTCTATTCATAAGGGGAACCCCACCACACCAGGCAGCACATAAGCTCACCAAAGGCCCATTGTGCCTCCCCATTTCTTTCGCAGCTAGGTTCAGAGCCCGTTCTTCTCAATATAGGATAAGACTGTTTAGCCTAAGCTGCTTCACCCTCCCCTGTTCCTGATAGCTGTCGACGTACTCGAAGAGTAAGCCCATCAAAGCTCCGGCATATTGGAGTAGGGGATAATATGTGTAGATTTAGTATGAATTATAATATTTAAAGAATTCCCACTTCTCACCCCTTACGTGGCTTTCAAAATAGCGCCTAAGTGTGAACATTAGTGGAGCACAAATAGGAAACTTTTGATTGCGCTTTTTAGGGGATGATACATTTTACAATCAGAATTCTTAATGTTTGAAGAATTCCTACATACACATCCTGTAAATAGTTTAGTTCTTCCCCATTACGTTTCTCTAGGAAAAGCGACTAAACTGGGAAATTATTTTTAATGAAGTTGAGAATAAATGAAAGAACTTTATTGGTGCATTTAAGGGGATGATACGTACGTGCAGATTTATTATCAATCAGAATATTTCATTGGCTAAAATAGTTATTCCACATGTAAGTGTTGAAGGCACTGACTGGGTATTAGCAGAGTAGTTAAAGAAACAGCATTAAAGAGAAATTTGTGTAATATATCTAAAAGTACATAAAAAATACGTCCTTAAAATATCAGACTGAATATAAAAACTTGGCTAATGGCAAAATTGGCACGTAGAAGTACTGTTGGGTCTTTTGCATTTTGCTTTCTTCTTCATCTACCTTTAAATGTAAATAGATCTTGCTGATATCTAGAATGAGCTATCTTGTTTGTTTTTGCAATTAGATCCGATGATATTTCGGGTTGTTTGCTCAACCGACCAGATTGCGCGGCGATTCTAATCTTGTTGTTTCCTTGAGGCGATCAAAATCCTTGAGGCTTGTGTCTTGCAGTAATATTTCCACCCTCTGATGACCTGGGCACGGAGAAAACTGTTTGCTATTAAAAATTTCTTTTTACAGGTGCAGATGCCGTAGAAATCGCGCTCCTTCCAGTTTTCCTTTAAAAATGTAACAAATCCTGAGATGGATTGATGTGGCTGTTGAATATAAAACTGAGAAAATAATGCTGAGCAACGACGCTAGAATCTTGAATTCCATTGATTTTATTGGCGCATCTGGGCCCAACAGTGCGGTAAGGTTATTATAAGAACCTCTTCCTATCGATGAACTTAACAACTGCGCCTGCTGATATCTAGACTAGATCACTAACTTTCTTAAAATCACAATAATTTCTAGCGCACTCGTACAATTTTACAAACAACTCGCCGACATTCCCTTACGTCGATGACGCTTTAAAATAGCCTTACGTGCATATCGTGAGTAGCGTAATTACACTGATCACAAATCAAATCGTTGAGAAGGTTGTGTGTTAAAAGATGACGCTTTAAGCGAACGTTATTAATTGTAGCTGAATTACATTGATTGCAGCTAAAGTTTTCATTCCATAGTCACTCGCATATTATACAGTGTGTCCCAGATCGAAAGTATAAGAGATTTTTTAATTCTCTTTTCAACGAGCTATCATACTATAAAATGGAAAATAAGATATCAGTTATATCAACGGTTTTTATATTTTAATCAAGTAATCTGTGATGAATTAAAAAAAAACAAAACACATTTGTTCCGTGCCCTTTTATCCTCGCGCCCTTTTGTCCACGCGCCCTTATGTCTCACGCCCTTTCGGCGGCACCCTAATGTCCTAGATCGCAATCATCTAGTAATCAAAAAATAGAAAAAGATTTGCTTTAACACATTTTCAGGTTTTTTGGAATTGAAACACCTCCTATAATAACCAAATAATTTAAATATTTTACCTTAAAAGTTGACTATATATTCTTTTACACTATATAAATTTCACGGGATTGCAAATGCTCACGGTATTGGTCCTTTCTGTCAATTCACATTTTTATACTTGCAAAAACAAAATGTGTTGGCTTAGGTACCACACAATTTGGATCATAAGAATATAATTCTCCAAAAGAGCTCATCGACAACTATTTTTTTCATTTTGCGTCTCCTAATAGATACATATATTTTTGTAAAACATAATGCGAAAAAAGGTGAATGAAATATGATCAAAAATTGGTATAAAGCAAACGCAATTGAATAACCTATTCAATTCTGAAATTTTTGACCCTTTATCCAAACAGTTCACAATCTTTAAAACCTGTAGAAGTTACGCAAGGATAATCTTGGAACACGCAGATTATGCATTTTTGAATTTTGTTTTCTAAACAGAACAGACTAGAACAATACCCACAATCACTATAGTAGTTTCGTTATTCTGGTAGGAAGTGCGTATTTTTAATTTAGGTATCGCTAAAATTTATAAAGAATGGTAGACATGACGATGCTTCGATCGGTTACAGTTTAAGAAATTATTAGCAATTTCAAAATGGTTGTGCATTTTAAACAGCGCACTTTTGAACATGAGTGGCAGTTTTCAATATGTCCCTTACATTTTCCCTTGAAAATTAAATATACAGGTTCCGAAATTACTTCTAAAAACGTTCTGCCAGTCACTCAGTTAATCTACGTCACGACATGACAGTCTCGATATTAAATGTGATACCAACTATTTTGCGCCAAAAGAAAATTGAAGAATTTAATATTAAACCAATTTCAGTAATGTTTTCCTTTATTATTTGTATTCTGTTGTCTAACATAATCAGTGTTCATTTTGGATTTACATCGTATTTTTTTGCATATTTTTCATTTAACCTACTTTATTCAACGTTTGCAAAATGATTACAAATTTATGAAAAGGTGATAAGTTGGTACCTATGCGGGATAAATATTTGCGAGTGCGCCACTTTTCAATTACAGTTAACATAAAAGTAGTAATCACGAAAGACGTCTATTGAACAACTTAGGTCGTTATTAATTCAAGTTAGAAGGGGAAAATCTGCCATAGAAATAACTCTCCGCGAAATTAGTTCAATAAAAATCTCGTCAAAATTAAGAAAATGAAACCTCTTTTAGGCTTTTCACTCAATAATCGCATTAAGTGCAAATTCTCATCAAAATTTTCGAAGGCAAATTTAACTTCCCAAAGATTATTTTAATTGTGAAACTTGATAGGATAATAAAAAAAATAAAGTTTTCCGTAAGGCACTTACCTTTTGCAGGATGAAGTCGGGATTTATTCCTAGTTCTGCGAAGGGAAAGAAAGTATTAAAATCTTGTGTGACAATATGCAGAAATTGGGGAGAGAGCAAAAAAAAATGAATAAATTCGGAATGTGGAGTAAACATCGTTAAACGAAATCTACTGCAGCGCTTTTATGAATAAGAACCCGTTTCAGTCGGGAGCTTGGGATTTCCTTTACTTTTTTTTAAATTCAGTTTTTTGTAATGGCGTCTCTGCAAATGGATATTAACGCGAGAAAAGCTTTGGACATTAAAAGATTAAGGCCGTGCGCTAAACGGTTTGTTTTGTTAGTAGTAAATCCAGAAGTGTAAGCTTTTGAAAAGTGAGTAACGGGCGTCCATGGGATGCGACTACTGTTACAAATTTGTTTCCAGTTTGAATTCACTTCCGAACCCCTTTCAGCTTATCCAGATTAATTTATACCCGCTGCAAGTAACATGCTATTTCCATTTCTAAGTTTAACATTGGATTCGATGCCGCACTAATACTTTCCACTTTTAATTCCTCGGGCCAGGTTCCAGACTTACCTTACAATTTTCATCGGAACTATAGGGAAATTCACGAGCTTTTGTAATAATTCGATATTTCCGCGATAATTGTTTATCGGCGATTACCAAAATGCCGATCGCTAAAGAAAATCTTAAAATTCGTTTTTTACTACGACCTATTGATGCAAGCAATTCATTATACCTATACGTTCTTACGATTTTGCCATAATTCAGCATGAATTTGCTGTGTTTCAGTGTGCAACACCATTTCTGACGTTTTAATTGTATCATATTAAAGTATTACAAAATGATGGTCATTAGAAAATGAAAAACTTGAAAAGTAGTGGGCCCAAGCTGGATCCTTACGATACGCTTGGCGTTAGGGTAAATCAACCGATTTGTCAAATTTTTCGTAAATCAAGCGCCGAACAAACCTTCGAGTAAAGGAGGTTCGTCATCAAATTCTCCTGATCCAGTAAACCCTTGCGATGAGACACCCTGTCCATACGTATCCGTTTGGGGATATCCACCAGGTGATGTATTCAAGTAAGGATTGTTCCCGTAAAGATCCTGCTGTTGATCTTGATTTGACACCGGCGCACTGTCAAACGATTGAAAGCTCCTGAAAGAAGAAAAGTGTCAACGTCACTAGAGATGAACCAATACCGTAACATACAGATTTTCTCCGAAATCTTGCACAGGCATTTCGAAGTTATAAACTCCTTGCGATTGCGGGGGAGCATTAGGGTCCCAGTAATCTTGTCCGACGTAGCCCGACATTCTGTAACGGAATAAAGCGTTCATATTGAAATGTTCTAACTTTGCAAATTATGTTTACAGCATTTTTGTATTAATTTCATTTTTGTTAAAGAATGGCTTTACCCGTGTAGGGGCGGGAATGAATAACTCTACGTCCTGCTCTACTGTAAAGGCACCGCATGACGTAGCTGTTTGGTTGTTACTGGTAGAATGTACAGGGAGAAGGGTACACGTCCTATTACTCTTTTGCTCAATCCTAACGTATTACGCAAGGAATAATTTTGTAACGATAACCATTTTGCGCCGTCATCATTTCAATAATGTAGAAGCACGAGGCTAAACATGATAACGATGATTAGGTATACTTTAAATTTCTTTGGATTCCGCTTCTTAGTAGCGATTTTTAGGGTACCTATTTCTATTTCTAGCACAGCATAGTTTGAAACCGCCGAAACGGATTTTAAAAGCTTTCAAACGCGGATTTTAACTAAAAATGTTTCAAGGGCTGGTTAATGCTCATATGCCACTTTTCCCCAACCCCATGCAATATGGTTTTGGGCATTCATGATATGATTTTGATATGAAATTGGGTTCATACGTAGCATCTTTACTAGCATTACATCCTTAAATTGGTCTTGTTTTGTGACCATTCTGACCATTCTGAATCCCTAAAGCAGGAGAATAACTATGACAATTATTTTTCATGAAATTTAGTGTATATACAGGCTGATTCAAATTCGAGGGCCACCATGGGAATCTCGGGAACTGTAAGAGATAAGTAGGTAGTTTAAATTTGGCAAAGTTGCGCATTTTGATGCTTAACAAAATTCCGTTTTGAAAATGAAAAAAATCCCACTACTTTCGGAGATCCGGAAAAAACGAAATTTTGCAAAACCGTTTTTATTTTTTTTTGAGGTTCTTTAAAAAATTTTCACAATGATTAACACATTATTATGGCACTTTTTTCCCTCTACAAGATGCTACTTTTAAGTTTGACGTTTCATCTCCAGTCAATCATCATCAGCTTTGCCTTTTCTTATGCAAGTAATGTTTGCGTTTTGTGTCATTTGATAGAGAATTTTTTTCTGATTTCAAAAATGTAAAGATCACTATCTTTCAATACGAAATAGCGCTATTAATTCGTAAAAACGCAAGAAACTACGTACGTACACTACCCAAGACAAAGTTTTCTAGGCAAAAAAGAAGATATGTTAACAATACTAAAAAAATTGTGATGTTTACATTTTTGAAATCAGAAAAAAATTCTCTATCAAATGACAAAAATTAAAAATTGCTTCCATAAGAAAAACAAAGTTGATGATGGTTAGCCAGAGACGAAACGTCGAATTTAAAATTAAAAACTAGCATCTTGTAGAGGGAAAAAAGTGGCCATTATAATGTGTTACCTATACCTATCTTTTACAGTTCCCGAGAGCCCCATAGTGGCCCTCGAATTTGAATCAGCCTGTATATAATGCATAAGTGCCCATCCGAGATACCATAGACATTCTGAAAGATAAGTATCATTTAGATCTAGAACTAATCAGACATGTTGAGCACTGCACGTACCTATCCCACATATAAAAATGAATTTTACAGACAAGTTCAAGGAACGCCAAGGATTTCACCACTCTCACTTGTAATCGTAAACATCTACATAGAGGATTTCGAAATAAAAGTAATCAATACTTCTCCCCCCAAACCAAAATGCTGGTACTGGTATGTAGATGATACACTTGTGGTTCGGTCTCACGGATTAGATACTTAAATTACACAATTTCCGAGACCCCAAAGACCACATCTCAGGTGAAAATCAAGGTGTGTATGACGTGCCTTGTTCCAATTGTATGAGATTATACATTATGCATAGGTCAAACAAATAGGAGATTGAATGTCAGAGCCCAAGAACACTTTCTGGCAATCAAACAACATAATACTGCATCATCTTTGGAACACACCATTTGAACACTGGCCCCTTACACTATTAATTGACACGTTTCGGGAAAGAGTAATACGAGAGGCCATTGAAATAGAAAAGAGGCCTAACTCTTGAAATAAACGAAACGATGGTTCCTGAATTTTACAAATTTGGAATTCAATACTAGCTCCTCCTAATCCTTGGTCAATGTACGAAACTTATTGTTTGCAATTAAAGAAGTATTTTTAAACTTATTTATTTCTGACTCATTCTGACCGTACTGATCGACGGTTACACGAAGAGTGATCGTTTTCATCCTTTAACTTAACCTTTGCACGTCGCTAACAGCATTGAATAAGTACTATGATTACTTATTCAATGTTTATAGTCTATAACTTTTGATTGAGAAGGCTAATCGAAAAAGTACGAATTGTTTTGGATTCTACGCACCAAAATTAATAAGAAAAAGTGTTTTACCGACAAATTTTGGTGTAGTCGATTTTTGGTAAAAAAAGGAAGGTTGTACACTGCCTTTTTTTGAGGCCCCAAAAAAAATTCTAAGATCGACCCGGAAAAAAATTTTCTTATAGAATGTGGCCTGTAGAATCCATAATTTCAAACAGTTTGAAGATTGGGCTACTAGTTCAAAAGTTACAGCCCTTTGAATTTTCTTTCGAAATTGGTTTCTAGTCTATAACTTTTGATTGAGAAGTCTGATCGAAAAAGTACGAATTGTTTTGGATTCTACGCACCAAAATTAATAAGAAAAAGTGTTTTCCCGAGAAATTTTGGTGTAGTCGATTTTTGGTAAAAAAGGAAGGCCTTTTTTTGAGGCCCCAAAAAAAAATTGTCTCAGATCGACCCGGAAAAAAAATTTTCTTATAGAATGTGACCTGTAGACTCCATAATTTCAAACAGTTTGAAGATTGGGCTACTAGTTCAAAAGTTACAGCCCTTTGAATTTTCTTTCGAAATTGGTTTCTAGTCCATAACTTTTAATTGAGAAGGCTAATCGAAAAAGTACGAATTGTTTTGGATTCTACGCACCAAAATTAATAAGAAAACGTGTCTTCCCGAGAAATTTTGGTGTAGTTGATTTTTGGTAAAAAAGGAAGGTTATTCACTGCCTTTTTTTGAGGCCCCAAAAAAAATTGTCTCAGATCGACCCGGATTTTACTTATAGAACGTGGCCTGTAGAATCCATAATTTCAAACAGTTCCAAGATTGGGCTACTACTTCAAAAGTTACAGCCCTTTGAATTTTCTTTCGATATTGGTTTCTAGCATTGAATAAGTAATCATTACTTATTCAATGCTAACAGTCAATTACCATCCTTTCAAGCATCTGATGATAAACACCTCCAATACCCGCATACAAAAAAACCTCTCATCTAAAGCAAGGAAAAGCTATAGCCACAGATACACACATACAACAGATTGCTAACCTTAGGTATGATTTTATGGGTTACACATTGAGGTATACTTCAAAGCCTAATGGTCTCAAAATCAAAACCCGTCCCGATATTCACTGATCAAATCAAATTTTCAGAAAGGCTAGCTGTTGGCATTAATAAATTGAGTAATCCACAATCAAAGAGAGATATTATTTCATTCTACTAATATTAACCTTTTTTCAATACTGAAAGTCGGTACCTACTACATCCCATATTATATTCAACACGATCGATAGATTAATCGAAAATACTATGGAATAATACAATTTACATTGTAAAACCACTATTCAAAAACGGAAATTTCAAAAACTACAGGCACTGTAGAACAAAGTAGAAGCTCTTAAACCTTTATATATATTTATAACCTAAACGGCACAACAATTAGCAACGATGCTATCGATGTTCTCCAAAAAGGTTTCAATTACGCTATTACAATAAGTGTAATCTGCTCTGAATGACACGGATCCTCGTTTTGCTGATGGAGTTCGTTTAGAATTTTAGAGCCAAAGCCAAAGATTAATAGAAAACAGCATAACGCCTTGAAAAGACTACAAAGAATGACAACATTTTAATTCTTCCAGCAGATGAAGTAGGGCCGTAGGGCCATGATGCAAACTAAGCTGCCTGCAATCTGGGAAGATCTTAAGATTGCTCAGCGCAGATATAAGGCCATATTCGAAGCACTAAACGAGAATCATGGCAGACCTTCTGTGGTAACATGGCGGGTATTCCCGAAGTTCATAAACTACTTATGCAAGATCCGTTTGAAAGGCCCGGGGCCAAAAAGTGGAGACACTGAGGTTTCCGTGCGGTAGATCTACGTTTCGATATTTTGGATAATAATGTGGTGGTTCTGCTTTAAGCTCCACCTAGAAAAATAACTGCCACCCCTGCTACTTCATCAGCATCACCATACGACATGTATAACAAGCCTATCGAAAATGATGGGCCTAATCCAATGACCCCGTAAGGTCATACGGCGCTTCCGCTTTTCGCTATAAATCCGCTTTACACGCGGATCACTTCAGTGCATATCTCGTATTTTAGTCGTTTTGTAAATGTAATGACTTTATAATGTAAATAATATCAAGTTGTTACATTGAGAAAAACAGAATATATCAATTACACGTCAATGAATGAAAAATCATTTTATTCTTCTTATATTTAACGCCTTTCTAACACCACTCGACATAATACGTTTTTCCAACATAACTTATCTATAAATGAAGTTGGAATAATTTGAAAAATTACTATAAGTTCGTTATATTAATATATCCAGGCAATAGCGCCAGGCAATGTTGTTTCTTTTTTTTCTATTTCAAAATATAGCACCCCAACACCCTCGACGTTACTCTTAAAAAAGATTCTTCACAACATTTTCATGAACCCTAGCCCAGCGTTATTGTCTTGCTAAAGCATTAATCTTTCGCAGAAATATTCGACCCCTTATCTTCGCTCAAGAATTCAGGCATCGTGGTACAAGATCAAGCCTTTTCGGTCACAACGGCATACGTGTACTGCCCAGTATTAAAAAGCGTACGATTTGTTACAACTCTGTGGTGTACCTACATATTTGCAATATTACCACAGATGTAAATTTAAATTGTGATATTACATGCCATTAAGCGTTCGCCCAATATTTTAAACAACGTGTTTTGGCAATTTTTTGTTATCGAAACTATGAATTACGTAAAATGGTTATTTTTCAGAGGAAGCTCTTGCGAGTGAACTTGTACATATTCCAGGCGACATCCATTCGAAAGTGCAATGTACTATTTCCTTTGCAGTACAAGTAAATCCAAATATAATTCCCTGCATTGGCGTCTTTTACAGTTTCCTATATTTCACATGTTGCTAGTTCTCTGTATAGAAAATTAGAACCTTCTGTAGGCATATTATCTGGCTAAATGAAGCCCTACGGATGGCAATTAATAATTGTTAAATTCGCTACATTAAAGCACCAACAGTACTACGATTGGTGTACTTCACGTGGTTCTATTTTATTACCCATTTTAAGATTAACGAAAAATAAATGCCATGAAAATTTAATGTAAAACCCAACACTTACATTCAATATTATTGTTTCACTCTCAACTTTCACAGACAGATAGATGGAGGCACGCACAATGCAAAGAAATAACTGGACCAAAGATAATAATTACTAAAATTGGAAAAACCTTATCTATTTCCTCTTCTATTTAATCATGATTACACAATATTGAAATAAAACATTGCAAAATTATTGCGTTACACTGTGTACCTACATGCTAAAATTAAAACTAATAAAGCGACAGTATACATTTCAAATTTTGATCGACAAAATAGTAGATATAACTATGTTAATAAAAAGCAGTCTTTGATAGCCACGTCTAAACGGAAATATCACCCTTATTGCACTTATAAATTAATGTACTTCTTATGCTTTTTGTTATGTGCCGATAAATCGGAGGATGTTGTGAATCGGCGGTCGCAGATCTGGCAATGGTAAGGCTTCTCGCCTGTGTGAATACGAATGTGGACCTTCAATGATGACGATTGCGTGAATTTCTTGCCGCACGTGAAACACGTGTACGGCTTTTCACCTGTGTGGGTACGCATGTGCTTCTCTAAATACTGATGGCGGGTGAACTGCCGGTCGCAGACGGTACAAGTGGAGAGATTTTCGCCCGTGTGCGTGCGGGTGTGCTCCTGCAGATAGGCGGTGGTCGTGAACTTTTTATCGCAGGTGACGCACGCGAATTTCTCACCGGTATGTTTCATCATGTGCGTCTGCAGTTCGGAGGCGTAATTGCAAACTTTATCGCACATTGTGCACTTGTAAGGCTGCTTGCCGGTGTGCTCGCGCATGTGAACGGTGAGTTGAGAGGAATGGGTGAACTTTGCGTCGCAAATTTTGCAGCTGACCTTTTCTCCGGTGTGCTTTCGCATGTGCACATTTAAATGGGACGATTGCGTGAAGGTTTTATCGCACACTGAGCAGGAGTAAGGCCTTTCTCCAGTGTGCGTTTTAATGTGCGAATTTAAAATGTAGGTGCTGGCGAATTTTTTCCCACACGTCACGCATGCGAACGGCTTTTCACCAGTGTGAGTCCTCATGTGCACCTTCAAATCCGCCGCTGTTAGGCAGCGGCGATCACAGCAAGTGCAAGCGTATGGCTTCTCACCAGTGTGAGATTTCATATGCATTGTAAGTTCACCTTTGATTGTAAACCGCTTATTGCAAACGGCACACTGAAATGGCTTCTCACCAGTGTGTCTTCGTATGTGTTCGCGTAGATGTGAGGAGTGATAAAATCGTTTCTCACAGTAGCGGCATTCGAAAGGCTTTTCGCCAGTGTGAGTTCGCATGTGAATACGTAAATTTGCATTTTTTCGGTAGTTTTTACCACACACTGCGCATGTGAACGGTTTAAGATCACTGCCATCTGCTTGGACACTGGAAGGTGTAGGTGGTCGGACCTGGACACCGGTGGTACGCTTTATCACCTGTCTCGGAGGCTTAAATTGCTGCAACGATTGCTGTTCTTCATTTTTGACAAGTTGTTCCTGCATGTGCATCACTGGCCTTTCGTAGTGAAGTTGTTCGGGATGCTGGTGGTGCATTGGTTGTGGTTGGTGGAGATGCTGGTTCTCTTGGGGGTGGTGATTATTGTTGATAAAGTTCACAGTGACCGCATTCGTATCCGGACTCGTACTTCGTGAAGTCGTAGTATCCACCAAGTTATCCGATTTGGTCAGTTCCTCATCGTTGTCCAAAAAGTGTTTCAGGTGTAGATATTCCGCATTTTGTGGTTCCTCAATGATGCATGGTAAATTGTCTGTGCCCGTCGCTATACTAAAGTCGAATTTTGTCGGCGTAGTTAGTGGTCTTAGACCATTGAGTGTTTGCTTCGCTTCATCTGGAAGATGGCTTATGTACCGTTGCAAGGTATTGTCGGACTGTAAGCAGACTGTTCGGAAGTCATATGCCACCCTTAGCCGTTCTATGCACGTGGTGCATATCAGTGATGGTAGGCCTTCTTTCATCCACACCTGCGAAAAATACAAAAAATAATTGCCTGCATATAGAGTGCGCGTAAAACCCCCCTCCCGCATTAACGAAATAGTTCGTGAAGAAACCGGGGGGGGGGGGGGGCGTAACGTAAAAACGATGGTTCATTATAACAATCTCTGTATGTAACGCCGTCTATATAATAGACGTGAGCGATAATGTCGCTCTTTATTTTGGACCACAATGAGAGCAGGTTGGGGAGCTCCAGTTTGAACACTGAAAATGCTGAGTAATTTTTATTTTAAACTTTTATGTGCGCAGTACAATGCCTTTTGCATCATCGAACTCGTTTTTTCATTACTCTACCTTGAGCTATCAATAAAAACTATACAGGGTCATTCTTGACGAGCGTCAGTTAGAAAGATATGGAAAACCTTTGAAAATGAAAATAAACTGATAAGTTCTTTAAGGGTCTTGGCACATGATGAATTGAACTAAAATATTTTCAAGATGGCGCCACTTCCGGAAATACCGGAAGTAGCCATCAACTTTGTTATTTTAAATAGGGACCCCCTATTTTTTCTACATTTTCGGATTCTACGTCGAATTTGGAGTACAACGATACCCCATAGTAGACCCTTTGCTCCAAGGGCTTCGTCGATATTCAAGTTTTTATGTAAAAAATTGAATTTGACGTTTAAACATTATCATAATAAAAACAAAAGAATAACACCAAGCGAATTAGTTTTTTTATTAATTTGCTACAAGAAGTAACTAAAACATGGAATATCTCGGAAACCGTTTGAAGCATCTTTTGACATTTTGTATCAAATTAAAGGTCTAGGAAAAAGGAAAACAACGGTGAAGAACAAAATGGGGGGTGCCATTTAAAAAAATGGAGTTACCGAAATTTAAAAGTTTAAAAGTTGAGAGCTTTGAAAAAGTGACGTAGTCTCACTTTTTTAGACGGTTTCATATACCATAAGAAAATTCAAACTTTCCTTAATAAAGCATTGAAAACTGTTTTGCAATATCTCTCACCGTTTTTGAATAATCAATTTTTAAAATTACCCCTGCAAATTCAATTTTTGACATAAAAACTTGAATTTCGACGAAGCCCTTGGAGCAAAGGGTCAACTATGGGGTATCGTTATACTCCAAATTCGACGTAGAATCCGAAAATGTAGAAAAAATAGGGGGTCCCTATTTAAAATAACAAAGTTGATGGCTACTTCCGGTATTTCCGGAAGTGGCGCCATCTTGAAAATATTTTAGTTCAATTCATCATGTGCCAAGACCCTTAAAGAACTTATCAGTTTATTTTCATTTTCAAAGGTTTTCCATATCTTTCTAACTGACCCTCGTCAAGAATGACCCTGTATATCCTAAATCAGTCAATTTCAAGTGAATTACATAAATGATATAATGGACACAAGACACTTGCAAATGGGTCTCATTCCAAAATAACTTACTTATTTTAAATAGGGCACCCTATATTTGATCGCATTTTGAAATACTACATCCTTTGATACCACATTTCCCTATACCCAACATCAAAGTTATTCAAGATTCTTCAAAATTTCTTACGTTTCACTGCTTTTCTTTGAGCCCTGTACCACAGATTTACGTATATCTGTGCCTGTACCTAATACTCTCTTGACTTGAATTTAAAACAGTCTCCCAAAATCAACAATACTGACTTCTACAGGGTGCTCTAAAATGTAAGGTAATTTTTAGTAACTTCAAACCTTAAAAAGTTAACTTTTTTCCAGAAGCCTGCTTTATTTTATTACAATTTCAAATGTGGCAAGAAATTCATGCATAATGCAGATTTTCTTTTTAAAACCACATTCCTGACAATTAATTTTTGGTTCCATGATTTCATGACATTACCGATTTTCTTTTCATTAAATGTACCTACACCTATTCTTCACAGCATCTTTCAAAACGCTGCTGTATCTTTTAAAGTACAAGTTTATGAAATATAAATTATTCACTTAATTGACTTTAACAGTAACAAAAAAGATTTTTAAATATATGGTGCCTTTTTCATTGCTGCAGCGCACATAATTCCTTTTTGGATTATTCTCGAAATTTAACTCAAAACAGGACTTTTGTATTAACATGCAGAGGGGTTTCCTGTATGTTATAACTTTTATATAAATAAAATGGCATTACAATCACCAATACGGAGTATTGATTTGCAATCTCCTGGTGTAATGGACAGTGATCTGTATGTGCATTTTTGTAATTGGATCTTATGACCCAAAGCTAAACTCAAACGAAACTATCAATGTAACATTCACCTAGAAGCATGCATTTAGCATTAGTTGTAAACATTCACATCTTATAAACATCAATTGCACTTCTCTTACGTGCACAGTGTAAGCGTTACATGCACGCTCAATTTCCGTTCTAAAATGCTTATCCAACCAGACGTGAACTGATTTATAAAAGTGCAAGTTCGATGTAAACCCCTCTACGGAATCAGAAACATTTCAAAATCCGTCTACAAAACACCAACAAACCCTATACAAGTGACAAGTAGTATCCACGCTCCATTTCGTGCCCCGCAACATGTAGCTATAATCAACAAGTGTTAAATTCAAGTCTGATAAAGAACTTACCACTTCGGAAACACAAGCGATCAGCTTGTCGCAAAATTTGATCGAATCATTGTCAGGGGTTGTCGTCGGTGTCAGGGAACATTCGATTCGTAGACAAGCCCTGCAGCAATCGGCGACGTGGAACATATTTTCCATTGTGAGTCCATGGGGACTGTTTCTTTCATGAAATACTAATTGGTCTGACATAAGAAGTATAAATTATAACCACAAATAACCTCTTTCGTTCTGTTTACAGACAAAAATTTGCAAATTAAGCAGTGTAGCCAACATACCATACCATGTTGTGCAACTGTTTCACATAGAAGTTACTAGGGAGAGGCGGAAAGTTTAAAATTTAGTAATTATATTGCACTGCCAATTTATCAACTTTGTCGGTAGGAATCGTTGCCTAAGGTATCGAAGGCAGCAGTCTGGAGCTGGGAAACCACTTCCTAGGAGATGGCTTTATGTGAAAGATATTTTGTTGAGGAGCGAATTTTAATACTTAACTATTTTTGTAAAATCTTGAGTTTTGCGATAGCTGTAAAATGTAGCTTTGCGCCGGCCCTGCCAGTGAAGATAGTAAGGGTAGCAATAACAAATAAAATTCAGACAAAAAATTTAAACGTAACTTAAATATAATATACACATCAAACATAATAACTGCCGAAACTCTCTTTCGATTGCAATATACTAGTAGAAGGTTGTGGATGAATTTCGGAAGTCATCTTAAATTTACAATAATTTATGCTGTTCTGAAGGGATTCGAAACTGAGACAAGTGTCCGGATCCTCCACGTAACATTCCCCGCTTTTCGACACCTCGAACTTTGACCACCTATAATTGGTACACTTTTTCGCAGCGGGTGAACTTTGAATGAGATTAAGCACAGTAGGGTGGGTCAGGCCGAAGAAATCGTTCCCCCGCGGACGTACGCTGACGACATTAAGCGACAAGGTATCGTTAATCTGCTGCAGAAGTAGCGAATGACACATGTCTGCTGAACTTCCGATTATTGTCGCTGTGGGATCATCGTCGGGGGTAAGTTCAAACCTACAATTTACGTGAGCATTGAATTGTAAATGTACTTGACTTACCGAGGTGAATCGTTCATGCTACTTATTTTACAAGTGTAGACACATTTACTAGTTGGATCTTTCATACTCCCATAAATTCTGGTTGATATATAATCGACGGGGAAGATGGCTTCTTCCGAATGAAATTCGGGACGATCACAAACGATCTCCCCTATAGAATGGATGCTTAAGTTATCTAATACTATCGGATATATTGGATGGCCAGTTTGATCCAATGGAATTAGCTGAAGCAGTTTCTTTTGGGTCTTACTCGTTAGTTTACGTTTCGACCCTTTGTGATCTATGACAAAACTATTAGAAATGGATCCAATTGATGAGATATACTACCATCATTATTGGATCTCTTCTTCGGCTTTTTGGGTGGTGTTGTTGAAGTTGAAAGTGGAGTTTGCGTAGTGTTTGTATTAATGATTCGTTGTACCTCTATGTCAACTTGGGGATCAATTTGGCAGAGTTTTCGCAATAGAAATTTCTTCTCCTCGTTCCGAATTAGGATAAGTTCCTGTACTTCGCTCACCTCATCACAAAGTGCCAAGTTTTCCTTTAATAAAATGAAGATGTTAGTCAGCTAAATGTAAAGTTAGAAATGTTGCTTACGAAAACAGTTTCTCGTATTGTATTTTTAAGCATCATCAATTTTGTTTTATATTTCCCTGGTGGTTTTGTGATCTTTGTATGTGTTAACGAGCTTTTATTAGAGTAAGAATAATTCATTTTGCGTTGATTTCAAAAACAAACAGAAATAGGTTAGAAATTTTGCATAATAAATAATCTGTGGCTGCTGACCCGATCTCGGCAACAAAATTGTCATGGGATTGATATACAAGGTGCGTCATCACCCTTAATTTAAACAAAATGGGGCAAATTTTTACAATTTAAGATTAAAGGAAATTAAGGTCTATATTAATTTATCCCTGAATTCTATTACGTGCGACTGAGTCGTTCCTTTGAAATCCAATAGCATTTAATGCTCTCCTTGCAGTTTTCTTGTTGGTGGATGATTAGTGGAAATTTGACAAAACGTCAAATTTCAACCAATCCTAGACCGTAATCCACTGGTTAATTCCAAGCTAGGTTTAAACTGTCTTTGTGCAACCGGCCCTTAGATCGGTTTTTTGAGATTATTACCCGGGTAATGGTAACCTGATTGGTTGCTTATCTCGTAGAATTAAACTACGAGTCAGCGGAATTCCATCGATTATATTCTAGTCAAAAACAGCCTTTAAAAAGAATGTGGGACCAATAGGAAACGATTCGACGCCTACGCCAGAACAATTCTAGGTAGACTATCTGAGCTAGAAATAAAGATAAAGGGGGAAGTCACGACGTGTTTAAAAAAACACATATGTACAGTTAATCCGCAGCCAGGTTATATTTCAGAAACAAATTTCGTTACATATCCATTTAGACCATATCGTTGCATAAGGAACTTATAAATTAGTTATAATAATATGAATCTTCTACACGTTCCTGTTCTCGAAGTTGATGTTCATAATACCCTGCAAGACGTTGATTTGTGGGATCAAACGGACTTTCCAAGTGTACGTTTGCTGGATATCTTTTTCCCATAACTTCCACTTCGTACTTTCCGGTAGTTAGAAACTCTTTCGTGACGTTTTCATTGCTTGGGTTTTTAACGTAACTGAAATACGACTTGAAATAGAAATTGACCATCAATATTATAATACCCGAGTCCGATGCTGCTTTTCAAAAAGTATCCATAGTCTCCTCTTCGCAGGAATCCAATAATTTGGTCATTCCTCCAAATAGTTTCGTTGCCCCAAAGCGGAATTTGGTCGTTCAAGGTAACAAATACCCTTAGTTTTTTCACACCTTCTTTTTTCAAACGGTCCACGGCTTCCTTGCCTAGATACATACCATTCTTTCGACAAGTCATCCCAAGGCTTGCCTCTACCGGATTGTCGTCACTTCTCAAATCCACATTCCACAAGTGGTAACCTAAAATTCCATCTTAAATGGTCGGAGAACTGTACCAACGGTTTCACCTTTTTCGCAACTCAACGAGTACAATGCGCGGTAACCGGCGTGCCTCATGTCGAACCTTCTTCCCGCTTGCTCCACTTTATTATAGACTGATATGCAAGAAGCTCGGGGGATGTGAACTTCATAACCCAACTCGCCAATGAAACTGAGCCTAAACACCCTGCAAGAATGCCCCTCAATTTTGATCAGGGTCGACATTCCAAAGGGCAGCTTCTCGTCGATGAGCGGATGATCAGTCAACGATTGAAGGAGTTCGCGACTGAAAAGATTACTAAAGTTACTAAGTCGCGTTGAGGGAATACCTTTTGGGCCCTTGAATTGATAGTATTCCCAGTCTTTCGGTAACATCAGTAATAGTTGCACTAAGTCCGTGCCTTTTAATTTCTCTTCGCAAATGCATCTTAGTGTGATATCCTGAAGCGCCTCCGGCCACGATGTAATAACCTTTGCCCTAGAATTACGTGGATATTATACGAAGTTTGATTCGTTTAGAACCTTTATAATAGGTCCAACTAAAGTTCCGACTCCTTGGTTAAGTCCAATTATTGTTAAATCACTTTCTGTTCCTCCAGCTTTATTAAGTGCACAACTGTATATGATTTTTTCGGCGGGACGGTCGGTGTTTGCTGTAAAAATCCACTCTGCGGCTTTTTGCGCGTCTGGTCCTGTCAGATACATTTTGGCAAAGTATGATATGTTGAATAATGCCACGTTTGTGCGCGCGGATAGTGCTTCTTCGCGGATCTGAAACCGTAGTTAGTGTCTGGATGTATAAAAAGGGTTCAGACCAAGTCAGTTTGTTTGGAGAAATCAAAGGTGAGTTCTCTTTCGAGTTCCTCCTCGTAGCGCTTATCAGAGTTGCGGACGTAGCCGTATTCGCCGTACCAATCGTAATCGCGAACTGGTGCAGTTTTGTTTTTAATGTAATACGCCGGACGTTCCCATCCCTGTGCCTGCTCCATGACGGCCCCGCGAGCGACGCAAGCCTAAATTTGATTAGAGATTGAAATGCTGATGGAATGCTCACCTCGTGGAAAGCATCTATCTTGAAATTGCGGCCAGCAAGTGGCTGGTCGTATGGGAATACGATACTGTAGTTCTTGGCGTATGCCTCTTGGCTCCTTTCAGTAGCCCAAGGGCGATTTTTTTGCATACCTGGAGTAAATCGAGCTATGTCAAATACAAACATTGGCAAATCCGATGAACCGTGAACAATTAAACTCGCCAACTCCTTCGCAATGCCTGGACCAAACATCATTCCAGCCGAATTTAAGCCGCACGCATGATAAAACCCTTCAACCCACAGTTATAACACAAATTGCAGTCAGTACCGTATACCAAAGACTCGTGGATCTTCGCCGATTAGGGGCCGATGGTCGGGAGTGAAGGATTCAGGACCACAAATGTTCGACTTGATACCAATTTTCTCCATGATAGGCGTGAGACCGTTTGCTTCCTTCAGGTGTATTCCAAATATATCTAGATCCAATTCGTATAAGCCGAAAGCGAAATCTGCTTGGACCTATCAGAAAACAGTGAACCAATTACAGTTTTTAGTTAACACCTACATCCTTAATGATCTCGGGGTTGATTTCATAACCTCCAACGTACAGGGTGTCTCCTTGCGTTCTATAATAGATCGAAGCATCGTGGTCGCGGATATTTGGTGTACCTTTAGCCTGGGGAATGCTCTCGGTGATTACGTAGGCGTGCTTAATGGGCACGAGAGGTATTTCAACCCCTACCATCCTCGCAATTTCTCTACTCCAAACTCCGGTAGCATTTACCACGGCTTTGGTGCGAATCGTGCCCGATTTCGTTACAACGCCCTCCACTTTGCGAAACTCTGAGTCTTTCTCCACCAGAATTCCTGTAACCGAACAATCCTCGACTAACTGCAACCATTTCGTTAACCTTCGGCTACAGTTCTGCACAATATCAAACCTTCCCGCCGTGGTTTCGCGCGCCTTTAGTGAGGGCGGCACAAAGCATGGATGGATCCAAGCAACCGTCACTGGGACTGTATAGAGCGTCATTAAAATTTTTAGGGTTCAATAGGGGGTGGATTTTCGCCGCTTCATCTGAAGAAATAATCTCGCTTTGAATTCCAAAGTAGGAGCCCAAAGTTTTCAGCCGTTTATATTCTTTGAGCCGCTCCTAATAATTGTAACATGTTATTAGTTGAAGAGATTGGTTTAATGTCGATACCTCCGTTCGTGATATGAAAAGACCGCCATCTTGAACGTAACCCGGATTTAAACCTGTTTCTTGTTCCAACGCTTGTAGTTGTTCGGTCGTAGAAGTTAATAGCTGAATATCAATATCACTGGGACGTAGCCTCCAAACCAATCCACCTGTATGCCAAGTTGTTCCGCTAGTAATTTTGTTCCTTTCTAACAGTACGGTTTTGACGCCCTTCTTCGCCAATTGATAAAATGTATTGCAGCCAATGCTGCCTCCACCTAAACAATGGGTGATAAAATTAAATGTGACAGTACCGTCCTACCTATAATTACAACATCTGCTTCTGAAGGGAGATCGCTGGTTGTGGAGTAGCAACTTACAGGTAAAAGACGCCTGTTGTGCTTGCGCCAAACCTCTCTGGTTACCCTTAACATTCTTTGTTGTGTTCACAAAACTACTAATCTCACTGATGGATACGAATATTTAAGTAAACTTGACCTTCCTATCGCTGTTATCTATTAGCTAGTGTGACCTGAATTGAGCAATAGTCATTAAACTGGATGTTTCTAATTGTACTCACATAACAACCGGAACAGATGTTCAGATGTTGCAAATTAGATCATTTCACAAATGGTTAGAGGTCTTTCTATAATTTTTCAAAGTTTCAAAGATTGCAGACAACACAAAACGAAATAGAGTAGATAAATTACGCCGGGTTGCGTGTAGTCTCTTCGCTCTTAAGGTTCTCAAGACTAACAGTCTGTGACAAACCCTAAAAACCCAGATTGAAGGCTCTGTAGACTTCTCTGAAAGCTAAAATATATTTCAACGCCCTGAACACTATGTAGATGGTTTGAAAAATCTGAAAGCCTTAAAAAGTATAAAGGTTGCAAAGCTCTCAAAAATTTGTTCGTCATTTTCGTGCCTGCGTCAGGACTTGGTTTTAATTCCTTTTATTCCCCTTCCTTAACCCTGGTCGCTGTACCTGCTCAAACCATTCTCATAGCTTCTTTGCATCTCGCTCACATATCACTCATGGTCTCGTTAGCGCTTTCTACACGTCCCCTTCAAGTGCTCGGCACGCCCTTTTTGAGTGTCCTTTGCACGTGTACTACGTCATTCGCACGCCTTCTTTACTTTGCTTTAGACACTACTTTCTGCCTTAAAGCACGCGCAATCCCCTAGCTATCTTTATTTCCTCTTTGGGTACCCACATCTTCTTCATGCTTATATGTTTCGCACCTTCACCTTCTCCACTCCCCGTCTTACATTCGTCTTCTTCGTATAGCTTCATGTAAGCTGTCTTTGTTCGTAATTCACGCATCAATATTTTCCATTTTTTTCCCTCCCACTCCGATCATGCCTGATTCACTCGTCTTTTTTCCCCGTCTCTTTTTCTTCTTTTACAGGTACAATCGGACGATATTTCCCGTTATACGCCTTCTTCACGCATACTGATATCATTTGTGTTCTTCAAGTCTTTCTTTCCCTTCGTGTGCTTTACAGGCACATTTTCTTTGTGTCATTTTCGCTCCTATTGGACCCGATTCATTTAGTCTACCCTGAAATTGATCAAGACAATGGCCACTTCCTTTAAAATTGAATATATTGTACAAAATTACAGCAGTTTTTATTTCAGAATTATCAATAGCGGTTACCTTTGAATTTTAAACTGATGGAAAAAATTAAAAGTGATAAATTTTGTTATAAATTACTTAGATTTTTTTGGTTTATTGGGCCTGGTAATACCCACATATCCAACCACTTCAATCGGCTTCACGCCGTCAAACTCCTGCCTAACAACGTTGGTAAGCTCTGCTTGAAAACCCTGCGCGCCCGCGGCCGCGGCTTCCTCCGCGAATTCGGGAGCTACGGAGGCAGCCGCCTCCTCCGCCGCTCTCACCGCCCCCTCAAAAGCACACACTGCTTCAGCCACCGCTAGCTTATCAACCGCATCCAGTAACTCCGTATCCTTCTGAACTCGAAGTCCCGCCTGCACCTCGATGCCGCTCGTGCTTGCGTGCGTCAAAAGAGGAGTGCTAGAGAATTTTGATCTGTATCCCTTGTTTAGAGGGTTAAAGGACGGCGAATCGAGCTTAAGCATGTTCTCACCAACGTTTTGCGATGCCTCTCGACGTTTTTGCAGCTCGCCTTCAACGGTTCGATCGAACCTGTTGGCCAAAGGGTTGATACGGAAATCGAAGATGAAAAATCTCACCACTCCATTAGAGATTCTCGTTTCTGGGAGCGATTTCGAGGGGAAGCAGCCGCGTTTTCCTCTTCACGCAGATAGTTTTGGCTCACTAAGTATCTCGAGTCGTCGTATTTACCAGGATCACTTACCGGCGTTGACTCGGGCAGTTCGCGAGGAAAGTACTTGACCGGTTGATTCTTTTGCTGTACAAGCGAAGAACTGAGTTGGTCGTAAGAATTTTGATTTGGGATACCTGTGCGTGTGCCGCCATTAAAAGGGCAGGGTCGTCGGTTGGTGTCCTGCCAAAGTTGTAGTGAAACTGTCCATCAAAAACTTGCCGGTTCGGGACGTTAAAGGTCTGAACTGGTGTCGATTGTGGTATCGCGAAAGTGAAGTCGCGAAAATCTCTGGACTGGGGCTGATACAGAATATAGTTTTAAGTGTTTAATCATACTGACGCAATACCATGTACGTTCCAGAACCACTAGTATAGAATGCCTCAGGTGCGCTTTGATTATGACGTCTTGCACCTCCACCAAATCGCCGATTGGTACCAGCACCGCGATTGCCGGAAGGATATGCGCTTCGTTGCATTCGGTCCTAAATATAAAGTTAAGGCTTGCGAAAATCGGTTTTCGGCACTTACAGAATTATCTCTATCTGCATGCATTTTGAATTTACTCGAAATAGGTGTGGTGAACGTCACAAAATTTAAATTTAAACTACTGTCAGGCTCAGGGAAATGACATTTGTTGTTTTGTCCATTTATTAAATGAGCAATCGGACGTAATTCGCATAGGAGGCATATTCAAAATTGATGATAGTCAACGTATTAAAATATGCACCAGTTTTACTATAACAACGACCAAATGAATCACTCGAGCTGTAGAACCAAAAAGGACTAGATTTGTCAAGATTTGGAAAACTGCATCAAAAGCTATGGGCCAAAAACCAATTGTAAAAAAATTAAATAAGTGTATAGTCTTCTCCCTAAAATCCATCGATATACGGTTTGTTTCCCAGAAAAGAAATACATTTTCACCTGTACATTCGAAAAGACTAGATTTGTCGCGACTTTGGGTTACATAACTCCATTGAACTATATACCTACTCAGTTACAGAGTATATAGTTCAATGCATAACTCAAACGCCGAATGTTAAGTTAAAAGATAGGGAAAGGTAATCGGACCGACAGAGGCTGTTTAGGGGATGTTTAGGTAGAAATTGTTTAAATATTCTTATTAATAGTGAACTTATAAGTGAGGGGGATTGGGAATAACCATCTGAAGAGACTACTAGACAAACGCAAACAATGAAGAATCCTAACTAGTCGAGTGTTCGAAGAATTTTATGAAACTCAAGAATTCAAAGAATCTGATGAAGCCAAGAAGCTGCGAAGATCGGCGATAAAGATTCAATCTGTAAACTTTCAAGAGTAAAAGTGGATTCATGGTAAGATGAATCTGAACAAAAATACCTCACTTCATTCTCTATCATTTAATTCACTGCATAGAAATAAAATTCTATTTTGGTAGGTACTTGGATTCTTGTGCCAAATCAATTTTTACACAGAAATCGCTCTTTCGCTCAGTTTTTGTTGCCGCATTGATAATGTTTCGAGTGCTATTAAAGCGTTCTTTAATTAAAACTAATAATGGACTTCTATTTTCTATGCAGCCCGCTTCGAACTCCATTCTCAATTTACCGGATGAAGCGGATGTGGTGATTATCGGTATGAAAATTCAAAGACTGGACTTAATGTGACTAACATGCAATTACAGGTGGTGGCAGTTTGGGTTGCAATATACTGTACCAATTGTCGACGCTTGGTATCAACAGCATTTTGCTGGAAAGAGATAAAATTACCAGCGGAACAACATGGCATAGCAACGGGTTGTTTTGGAGACTCAGACCTAATGACGTGGAGATCGAGCTCTTAAGTGCAATAGACACCGTCTTGCCCAAAGTAGAGAAAGAAAGTGATCTGAGTACCGGGTACGAAACAAATGGGGGATTGTTCATTGCTCGTACTGAGGTAAGTCCAGGTAGCTAGCGTTCCATTCATACTTCTGGTAATTTCAGGAACGGTTGAAAGAGTATAAACGCCTTCACACTATCGGCAAGTATTTTGGAATTGAAAGCCATTTCATCTCCCCTTTGGAGGCTGCAGCAATGCACCCGCTACTTGATCCCACATCATTCTCTGCAGCTTTATATAGTCCCAAAGATGGAAGGCTAGATCCTACTATGATGTGTACGGCGCTTGTTAAGGCAGCACTCAAATACCAAGGAAAAGTTAATATACCGGCGTAACACTTGCTAAATGACACAAATATAGATTGCAGAATCTTGTCCCGTAATCGACATCGTCGTTGATTCGAGTATGGGAACGAAAAAAATTCGAGGAGTTAAAACGCGTCATGGTTTTATCAAGACGAATTGCGTAGTGAACTCTGCTGGAGTTTGGAGCACTCACGTAGCTAAAATGGTGAACTTAGACATCCCACTTTTGGCTTTCAAGCATGCGTACGCCATCACCGAAAGTATTCCAGAGGCAAAAAATACTCCAAACGTACGTGACCATGACGCATCCATTTGCTATAAAACTCTTGGAGATAGTATTTATATTGGTGGTTACGAGATGAATCCAGAACTTCTGAAAACGGTCAGTTAAGAGATTGCAAGGACGTAGGTTTGATTATCTTCTTAAGGTTCCGAGTGATTTTTCTTTTGGACTCTACAACTTGGACTACAACATTTTTGGAATACATATTGAAAACGCATGTCGCCTAAGTCCAATACTAAACACTGTGGGAATCAAAAGTGACATTAACGGTCCGGAAGCGTTCACTCCTGACCATAAGCCTTTGTTAGGGGAGGATCCACGATTGCCAGGTATTTAGAGTGTAAAAGAGCTCGCGTAGCTCCCTTAATGACCTAGAAAAGGCCTGAAAGGCTATCAAATACTGTAAGGTATAAGAAAGTCCCTAGAAAGTCGTTGGAACGTTTTGTAAACGATTCTGAATGCTTTCCATATATGCATACAGATGCTTTTTAGAACAATATACAGCTTTTCAGAGTCTTGTAGCTTTATAGTTCCTTAAAACGGGAGTGCTCCTATAGGAACCGGTTTCTCTGACATTTTACTTAGGTGTTTTACATTTCTGTAACCGATTAGCTCTGGTAAGAACGTAACTTGCAGGTATGTTCCATGCAAGTGGCTTCAACTCGGCCGGCATAATGTTAGGACCAGGTTGCGGGGAGCAGTTGGCCAAGTGGATCAAAAACGGACGGCCTGACCTAGCCATGCACGCTTACGATATCCAAAGGTTTTCACCAAATTTATGTTCAGGCAAGAGATACATTACGGAGGCAACGCATGAGGCTTACGCTACAAACTATTCAATCGTTTTTCCCAACCACCAGCCTCTGGCTGCACGTAATTTAAAAGTTTCTCAATTCCACGAGGTCAGTATCGCGTCGTCCAAGTCGTCTCGAATTTTCCATTTTAGATTCTGGTGGAGAACGGTGCCGTTATGGAACAATCTCAGGAATGGGAACGCCCCGCTTATTTCCTGAAAGGTCGAGCGGCCCCCGTCAGTCAATACGATTGGTATGGTTGCTACGGTCATAATGAGAACACAGACAAACGTTACCCAGAGGAAATTAAAAAAGAGTACACTTTTGAATTATCGTCAAATCATTCGTTGGTAATTGTTGCTCAATAGCACTCTGTCGTCCTTGCACTCTCTTGTAGATACGAGAGGAGGCACTATCGGCACGCAAAGACGCGGCATTATTCGATCTATCCCATTTTGGGAAAATGTTACTGACGGGCCAAGATGCAGAGCGTGCAGCAAAATGGCTATTCACATCTGAAATCTTAGGCCCCAACTCATTCACTTATAGTTGCACTTTAAACGATCAAGGGGGACTGGAGGGGTTCCTCAGGATAGTCACTCTTGATGAAAGGGGCGCTAAACTTTTAGGGTGTGGATTAGAGGTAAGTTCTCACTCTGTATACCGTTGTTTTCATCCAATTTTCCAGGGCAAAGGGTACTATATCATCACGGAGGGAACAACTGGCCATCGAGTCTTTTGCCACTTACAAAGGCAGATGCAAAGACAAGGTTTCAAAGCTAGCCTGAAAAATGTCACAGACAAAGTGGGGGTACTGTTACTGGAAGGGCCTAAAAGGTAACGAGTTCTTCTGAAATCCAAACAATTACCTGAGTTGTAGCCTGAAGATTCTGGAACAAGTGGCAGACTTTCCTGTAAATTACGAGAGAAATGCCACCGTAACTATAAACGGCCACGCGTGTAGGGTAATGCCTGTAAGCTCAATTGGAATGAAGGGGTATGAACTGTACATTCCTGCAGAGTCGTGTACTGCTGTGTATAACAAAATAACCGACGCTGGAGTAAAATTGGCTGGTTATCGCGCTTACTGCTCATTAAACGCAGAAAAGGGTAGGTATTTTAAAATTGCCCAAAGTACCTACCAGTCCATTTCAGGCGGTTACATTTGGAACTACGACATAAGAACACAGGATGGTCCAGTCGAAGCGAACTTGGGAGATATCTGCAATAGCGAGGAAAATTACATAGGTTGTGAAGCGGTGAGGCATGCAAAGAAAATCGGAACCACAAGGAAAAGAGCTGTGTTCCATGTGGACGCTGAAACTCCTCTTTGGGGATTGGAAGTAATTTGGAGGAATAACGAGATTGTTGGATTTTTACGGAGAGGAAACTTAGGATACTTTTTGAATGCCAGTATAGGAATTGGGTAAGTATCAACCCATTTGACTAGGTACTGATTAAAATATTGCAGATACGTAAATTCGTCAAATGTTATAGACGAAGAATATTTAACAAAAGGGAAATATGAAATTGAGTCAATGGGGGAACGTCATTCAGCTAAACTATATGTTAAAGCTCCCTTGTATTGCTAAAAATTCGCGATTATGCGATTGTATCAGTGAACAAATGCCATAAAGCTGCAACCACCAAAGCAGAAAATCAAGGTACGATCTCGCAATATAATATCTAACAATATTTAATATCAATGTTTATTAAACATTTGTTACATATTTTCTGTTGAAAGGGTTTATGATCATAAATAATAAACGCGCAACTGACCTATCCTGTATTTTCCATCTATTTAGCATGTAAGCGCCGAAGAATGTAACAAAATTAATCTCAAGAACCTGAAGAATCAAAAAAATTACAGAATTTGAAGAAATGTAGAATGTATTGAGTCTGGAGAGTGAAGACGGATCTACAAAATGGAAACATCCGTGTCATTTTGTGTCCCCCTTTGGGCCCTCAGAGCCCCAGATAGTGAACGTCTCAAAACGAATCTCTGGCTTGTCTCTATTACCCAAAGGACGGCAATTAAGTTTGAAAATTATTTTTAATAAATGATACGTGTAGATCAGTCGTCATATTTGCACAATTCCCCTAAGCCTAATGGTCTCGCTTGTCCCCAGTTTAGATATTCGACCAGGTGTAACAAACGATCATTCGAAACTTTTGATAGTGAAATGAGGACAATTCAATTGAAGGACCTTGTAGATAGGCGTGTTGGTGACCACTAGGGACTTTTTGATTTATAAAACAGTAAATAGGGATTTTGACATCCTTTGACATTTGACACATTCTCAATTTGTTTATAACTTTAAATAATCTTATTTTTAATTTTAGCGAAATTTTACAATGAATAATGTTTTTCATTACGCTGATTGTTGTCGAGCTTGTCTGAAAATTGAAGGTTCCTTAACGTCAACTTCCACTGTCGATAATGACACCATAAAATTAAGCGATAAACTAATTTCTTGTATTTCCGAAGTTGTAAGTATTCCCTCATTCTTTTGCACACCCCCAACGGCCGAATTGAATTTTAGGCGTGGTTGAAGGAGAGTCTTCCATCTTTTATTTGCACCACCTGCGTTGATAAGTTGCGAATCGCTTACGATTTTCGAATATTATGCCTCCAGTCTGACAATACTCTGCAACAGTACTTTCACCAGCACAAAGGCATAAATGGAGAGATCTACAGTACTATATCGGAGTTTATTTTGCCAGAGGGTGGTAATGAGATTACTAAGACAATTCAGACACAGTCGTCCAGTTCAGATTATCTTAACCTAAAACACTTTCTCGATAATGAGGATTTATCACGTTCTTCCAATCCACATGAGCTTGATGTGTCTCGTAGTGCCACACCGGATTCGGTTGCAACCACTGGTTTTGCCAGAATAGAAAAAGTTGCTAAGAAGGTATGTTGAAAGATGTCTTGGTGCACGAATTACATAGAGCATTTTTACAATTTCTATTTTTGTTTAACAGGTAACGAATACGAGATCAGTTAAGACGCAAACTCAACCACTTCCGCAATATCCTTCGCTTACACCAGCTGCTGCACGGTTGGAAGCCCAACAGAGTAAGACTACAATAATAGTGGAAGACCCTTATAAGTACACGTGCAGTGTGTGTGGAAAAAAGTACGCAAAAAATGCCAATTTGAAAATTCACATGCGGACTCACACAGGTGAAAAACCATTTGAGTGTAAATACTGTGACAAAAAGTTTTATCATTCCTCTCATCTAAGAGAACATATACGTCGTCATACTGGAGAGAAACCCTTCCAATGTAATGTTTGTATGAAACGTTTCACTATCACTGCAGAACTTACTGTGCACATGCGTATTCACACAGGTGAAAAGCCATACGCGTGTAATTGCTGTGAGAAACGCTACATAAAGGCTTCAGATTTACAAGTGCACATGCGCACACACACCGGTGAGAAGCCGTTTGCCTGTTCGTATTGCGACAAAAAGTTTACTAGTGGCTACATACTGAACTCCCACTTGAAGACTCACACCGGGGACCGGCCGTGGTCGTGCACCCTATGCAGTAAGTCGTTCACTCAAAGCTCCCACTTAACCGTTCATATGAAGAAACATACCGGAGAAAAGTTCTCCTGTAAAGTTTGCGGGCAGGAATTCACCCACTCCTCGCAGCTCACCGTTCACATGCGCGAGCATACAGGAAAGCAGCCTTATAAATGTACAATTTGTGATAAAATTTGTAATTACGCCTCGGAGCTCCAGACCCACATGATGAAGCATACTGGAGAAAAATTCACCTGCATAACGTGTGATAAAAAGTTTACGACCTCCGCCTACCTACAGGAACACATACGTACCCATACTGGTGAAAATTTGTTCAGCTGCTCGCTGTGCGAACGAACATTTACGCGCGCCACCTATCTGGAGAAACATCTGAGAACGCATACTGGCGAAAAGCCGTTTTCTTGCGAAGTGTGCGGAAAGAAGTTTACTCAGTCGTCTTCCTTGAACGTGCATATGCGTAAGCATACGGGGGAGAAGCCGTACACTTGTACGATATGCAATCGGGGATTCGTGACATCGTCTTATCTATCAGTGCATTTACGTAAACATAGAAAGTACATTAGTTTATAATATTAGGCGTAACAAGTAATTTTGATGTTGTGAGAGTATTACGTGCATAGCTTTAAAGTTTAGGTAACAGAGATCTTTACTTCGATAGCATTTGGCCATGACGATTTTAATTAGTCTAAGAATTTTAGTCGCTTCTTTTTTTAAGGAAATGTTTGCCTTTTTAAATAAGTTTTAAATATAAATTATACAATGGTGGTTCTAGTCAATTCATTCACTAAGGAATATAGTCATAACTTTTGAATTTACAAAGTGGATGTAATTGTTATATCCTAATGGTTAACCCTGATGTGTACACATTGTTGCATGAGGTTTAGGAACTGCTGTACCTATCAGTTCAATGCATATATTCCATTTTGAACTATTTCATGTACGAAAAATGTCGCACTCAAATATGTGTTCTGAAACTATGGATTGTTTGCATCTCTACCAACTTCTAATGTTGAAGCAACATTCAGTTCAGATACATTTCTGACAAGTCTAAAGGACACTAATTTTCATAAAACGCAAAATGGTATCTGCATTTGTACTTATAAATGGGTGATGCCAAAATCAAGAATCTTTTTTAGTAGCGAATTCTTCGTTGAGTTCAGCGCTTTTTTGAATCGACTGTGAGAATCAAGTTATTGGATTCCACTTCAGAAACAAATAGTCATGAGAAAGACATTGATTATACTCAATAGACAAAGGGGAAAGATGTGCCCCTCGATGTTGATTTGCAATCGGTGGGCCTTTAATTCCGCAACACACTGTACCATTAGGTTCTTTCGTTGAGTAGGTAATGCAGTTTCCTATAGATAGTTGTAACTTAACCTCTAATGTTATGACTTTTTATAGTCAATTTTCTCTTTATTAATGAAACAGGCTCTTTTACTGAAAGTCTCTCAACATTAGCATTAAATGGAATAAAATTTTAGTTTAGGACATAAATTATTCCCTGTGTGATTTTCAAAATGGATCTAAAAGTATTCTAACCTAAACCTATAAAGTAAAACGTAATAACGTCATTTTAGGGATGTGCGCAGGCTTTCTTACGGGGTTTGTTCGACAGTATTCGAGGAACCATCACCATAGCGTACCTAGATAAAGAACTCAACAATCGTAAACTGTCTCGGTTATCACCCACCAAAGCGCAAACGAGCAAAGCGTCCACTGGCGATTCGACTCCAATTCGAGGTCTAAGAGCGCACGAGTATGTTTCCACAGTAAAAAATGTTGTACCGCAATATCTTCTAGGGAATCCAAAGTACTTACTCGCATCATACAATGCTGCGCATTAAATGGTGGCGTGTTTTTGCTTAGCATTATTTTGTTTCAATACGGATTCCTGCCAGGTTTTGGTTTTGTTGTTAAGCTAATTCTGGGAAGCGAGTCAAGCATGGGTAAATTCATATGGAATTGGATGGAACCGGTGTTGACCTGCATCTTTCAAACGTTATGGGTTGTACCACTATTTCTGTTGAGCAAAGTCGTCAACAGCTTATGGTTTCAGGTAATAATTAAATTAAGGTCGACTAATTTTTTGTTTAGGACATTGCAGATTCGGCATACCGCTACAGTCGTGGACGGCCACAATTTATGCAAAGTATCAGTATGTTACTGGCAGATTCGATATTTAGTATAGCTGTCCAAACCTTGTTTCTATTTCAAGCTTTGTTAGTAAATTACATACCGATTTACATGCTTGGAACAATACTTTCCACAGTGCATATGTGCTTGTTATACTCTTTATATGCGTTTGAGTATAAGTGGTTTAACATGGGTTGGGAATTACACAAACGACTCACTTACATTGAAACAAACTGGCCGTATTTCATTGGGTTTGGGTTACCTCTAGCGATATTAACAAATCTCTCAGAATCGTGGTTTATTAGGTGAGCATTGTGAGCGTAAACTATTTTTTGAACTGCTTGTTTTAGTGGGTGTATATTTGCAATTGCATTTCCATTATTCATCATAAGCGGAAATCAAGCATCGCCAATGACCGGTGTTTGGTAAGTTTATTTCGCAAGCCATCAAATGCTCACTTTCTTTTTAGCGATTATCCCCTACACTTATTTTCACCAGTGATCACGCTGTCAAATGCTTTGCTAACAAAAACTCTACGACAAGCACCAAATGCGGGCAATGCCAGAAGATGATCTTTACTGATATCTCTCTATTACCACGATCGCTTCAAAGAATATTCCTAGTTTTATACAGGCGAAATGTTTTTGTACTTTTTTAAGTTTTTACAAGTCTGATTACAGTGAGTGCTATTTTGTTTTTGATTGTTCTTGTTGTATTTTTGTACATTATAGTGTGAAGTGTGTGTAAATTATATTTATTTGTATATACATCTAGTTTTTTAATCACATAGCAGAAATACCAGACTTCTCGACCTGCTCCAATACCGTCTTGAGGTTCACATCGAACAGCTCGCAACGTATCGGCATTTCCAATGAATAAAAAGGATTTTTTAAAGCAAAATCCGCGTAGATTTCATAAATGCGTTTAAGCAAGATGTCTATGCCGACTTGGTTCGGGTCAGCAACAACCATCATTTTAACACCCGTTAAAGTCTGAAAACAGTGCAGCTTAAAGGTGTCCGCTTCCAACACTTCAATTCCTGAAGATTTTGGTTCCGGGCTTAATTGACTGGCGATAGCGAAGAGAGGATAAAACATGCTGGCCAGAAAAATTTTTTCATTCGTTGTCATCTTTGGGCGACCGAATTTTATGTTTATAGGGTAATTGTCTTTATTGTCTAATACTTCAAATACATCGCGACCATCGTCCATTTGTCTGCCGACCACCGGAATGCCGTTGATTGCATAGAGTACATGGCCCACTGAAACTTACGTTATTTTATTCGGGCGCGGTGGGTGCAAGTTTTACAACCGTGAATTCCATCGCGTTGCCCAAATTCTACTATCACCTTCTTATTTTCGTACTGTAGCTTAATGTCGAGGGGGTACGAAAAGGTTTTCTCGGTTTCGATTTTGGGCGAATTGTGGTCATAATTAAAAATCAGGCCTCCAGATTTCGACACGATATACACACCATAAATGACCATGCTAGGCTCGATTAATTGCAATTTAATTATCAATAATTTATATTGTTTTCTTTTATTTTAGGTTATGATAATGTAATTTGTGGGACAAAGACAACAGACACATCTGTACCGAAAATCGATTAAATTGCCGTGAGATGTCGCAACCAGTCCAGGTTTTGAGCGGGACCAAAAAAATCTCTATTTTACTATTTTTAATAAAATTAAATAGTATTCTGGGATGACCATTTACTACTTTGCCTTAATTGAAGAATCCGGAATTACAAAAAGTTTTAAAACTGAACTGATTTACTTACTTAGCGAATATTGTTCTTGTACACTGTACAGGGTGTTCCAAATTGCTTGCTTTCGATATTTTCGGGGATATTTTGAGAACTAAAAGAGATAGAGTGATGCGGTTTGCACTTCTATAGTTGCTTTTCCTTATTTTTTTCTAATTAGAAAAATAGTTACATAGTTATCAGTATGTTTGATAAGAAAAAATGGAAATAAATAGAGAAAACCGTTATTCAGTCTTGAAAATGTTGATTAAATACAAGTCCAACACATATAATCAAGCCGCCCAAGTATAGCACATAAACACTCCGGAAAGGCTACCGAAAAAAGGCTATAAAACAAATCGTCAGCCTGTTGACCGGTGATATGCGTAGAAGAGGATTCGCATTGGAACTAAGAAGACACTGGATAGTCTGGAATCCACACACAATGGGAAACCTAGAATCCTTACTTACTGAAACTAATGAAAGGGATACATATGTTAGACTGCGGGTTTCAACACACCGATAGCACAAGAAGCCAAGTCCTTAGCTGGCGGTTCCTGCAACAACCGCAGTGTGTACCTATTAAGATCTCTCATGAGTCAGGTCTTTATCAGCAATATGCGATAGTTTGGGATACGAAATCGCTCTTCATGGTACCCCCCAGCGCACTAAAATGCGCTTTAAAAATTAGGGGAATTAGCCCTAAAGGCATTAATGGTTGCAGAGATCGAAATCAAATTTTATTCAGGGACATGATAAACAGTTGGCCGGATTGAAAAATTGTTAATCTGATCGCGTCTGTCGGTGCAATTAAATTCAAATCAAGAATGAATTAGGTACCATATTTTACATGATGTTTAGCGATCATTTCAAAAAATGCTGTTACTACTCGCACTACTCGTCAACGTGAACGCATTTGTAAGGAAAACTACCACCAAATCCACCACTAACTAGATTTCTTTAAGCAAAATGCGTACGATGTCATCCATGAACGTGTCGAAGCCGAATATTACGATCCTACCCTTTCGAACGTTTCCTGCACAAACTACAAGTTTAACCGAACAATGCGTACCTGCATCTTGGCGATAACGTTTAAGTTTGATGTAAATGAAGGAGATATCGTAAGAACTAACCTACCCTTCGTGCTATTGGTACTGAACTATTTTTAGTTAAGAATAACAGGATACAAATGGCTGAGTAACCGATATCGCCTGGACATTTTGCAATTCAATGTGACAGCCAAAGATGCTCTTTGCTTCAAGTACTTTGATGTAGACCGCATGTTTCATTCCTGTACGACACCTAGCATCGAATGGCCTCCCATTAAGGGGGTAAGTTCTAATTGGACACGGCCACTATTATTGTAACGGTCGTTTTGTATAGATGACATACACAATAAGGGATTGGGTACCTGACAGTACTAAGTTTCCTCCCGGCTTGCCAGAAGGAAGGTGGAAAATAGCGATGCGGTTATTTACTTACGGGAAACACGTCATGTCTATCAACTGGTATTACGTCGTGAAATACAAACTTAGAATGGAGGATTAACTCATCCATGTAAAGCAATAACCACTGTAACCTGTAACTAAAGTATGTCTCACGCATTAGATACAACTATAGGACTGTAATTTTGTAGTATTTCAATGTTAGTAGTACCTACTTAAATACAAAGTTTTATTATTTTCGATTCATTTGGGAACCAAAAGGACGACTACATGTATTGTTGTATTAGGAAAAAGGAGGTCTTTGGAGGACAAATGGCTTCCTCCGGGCATGTGACGAAGAAAGTACCATGTTTCGCAAGAGGGACCTGATTCTGTACGAATTGTTTTGGATTCTACGCACCAAAATTAATAAGAAAAAGTGTTTTCCCGAGAAATTTTGGCGTGGTCGATTTTTGGTAAAAAAAAAGGAAGGTTAAGTATTCAAATACTATGCGAAGTATTCGAATACTAAATATTTGTGAAAGTATTTGAGTTACAAATACAAATACTGCTTCCATAAAAGTATTTAATTACAAAGTATTTGAAAACTAAAAAGTATTTACAAAATTGAATACTGCCCAGCTCTGTTTGCTATAATAAGTATATAATAATTTGCAAATTTATTTCAAAACTACTTAGTTCTACAAATAACTACTGTAGGTACAGTTAAATTCAGAATTGTCAGAAGCTTTTACAATGGATTAGGTATATGACTTCTGCTATAAATTAAAGTTTTGTATCATATAGGTACACGACGATAAAGGGAAACTAATTCATCTCGTGAAAGTAAATTCAGTCAATGGTTAAAATATCGCTTTATCGTCTTGTATAATAAATAACTAGTATTTAATTATCGTACTTATATACTTAAATGCCAAATCTTGAAAATTAACGGACGTGTAAAATTGAATCTCCGGCTTCAATTGAAATTCGAACAAAATTCAAAGTTTTGTTAATTGTTATTAATAATTTGCCTTTTTCTCGATAACCGTTCAGAGATCTGTCAAAAATGAACGGCTTAGATAGAATTTTCAATTACAGAGATACAACCAAATACAGAACTGCAGTGGCAGGGGAATCTTTGCACTGGATTGCTTTGCACAATGCACAGTAAATTAAAAAAATGTTTCAAAACCCACTCGTGGGTGTTGTCGCGTAACACAACTGTAAATGTTGAGTAACGGGTATATATAGACCATAGCAGCTATCAATTAGCGAAAAGCCGATGTCTCTAGGTGGCCGAGATCTCTAAAGAACAGACAGACAGAAATGCGATTGCATTTTTCATGGAACTAAACTCTAAAGGCAGCGTTTGGGTGGAATGGGAAAAATATGGCCAGAATCAAGGACTAAGAATGAGGATAAGGATACGAGGGAAGGAGTCTGAAGCGTTCTAGATATGTAAAGAACTTAAACAAGGTTGGGTTAAGTGGGCACTCCACTTAGCCCAACCTTATTTAATTTCTACATAAGAGATGTGGACCATCAGAATATTAGACAGGGATCGTAGTAGGAAGAAGGAAAATATCGTACCTGGCGCAGACGACACAGTAATAATGGCTACAGAGGTGGAACAGATGAAGAAAATGGGGGGGTCGGAAAATCGAAAATGAACTTTGGGAAGGGGGAAAGAAGGAAAATGGAGATAGAATGGAAATGGAGGAAATAGTAGAGGAAGTAAGAGAAGTGAAATATTTAGAGTACCAATTGCAACAAATGTGCAAGCGAGAGACTAAAAAAGGGGAAAAGTAGCGCGATGAGGCAGGTGTGAGGAATAGAAAAGATCTCTTTTTCGAGCTGCAGCCATTTTGGATCTATCTGTAGTTGTAATTCTTGCGGAATTCTCCAGTTGAACCAAACCAATTGACCACTTTGACGTACTTTAATCAATTGCTCGGTGATTCTTCATGTCCTAGTTCATTCCATCCCCAAGAACTTACTTTACGCTCCTGTGCAGGAGAAACCACACTCATAACAAGCAGAAAGGTTTTTGATTTCTCCCAAATTCAACGGTCTCTTTGTTACATGTAACGCCTTCGTATTTGGCACATTTTCTCCTTCCTAAAGTCTAATATTCTGCGATATCCCCTTCCCAGAACATTGAAGTACTCTAAAAATCGGTCTATGCATGGGACTCAGGTAAACCTGCTAAAAGAAATGTGTCAGACCATTCCTGACTGTGACTCGCATTAACTCAACATAACTGGGCCAGTCCAGGTCAGATTCCTGTTCCAAATAAGCTTTCATGCCAAAAGTCCACTTATTATTCCCATGAATATTATAATACTGGAACAATGACTATTGCCATTTTTAAACACATGCACGATCAAAATTGAAGTTTCCAGTAAAAAAAAAGATGGGGATTAATTGCAACGAATAGATTCCGCCCTAAAAAACAGTCTAATCTGTAGGAGATAAGAACACGGAATTAGGCCACAGTAAAGTAAATGATGATAAGAAAATTCCGTTTTCACTATTATTTTTTACAGGCCGCTGGATTCTAATATTACTAATAATTTGATACGAAATAGCATATAATTGAGTTTTCTTTAATAAATCTCCACACAATTAGAATTACTTAAATTGGTGAACGAGTTGAGATTATTTAAAATTTTCTAAATGCTCTCATGACACGGATTTCCGTATAAATAGTTCTGTCAATAGAGGCTTTTTTAAACCTGGCTTGACCGAAGTAGGCCCTACGGAAGTATGTATCATGAGTTCTACTTCCGCAAAAAATGAGCTTGTCATTCTTCTTCAAATTTTAGATAAATCATCATTCGAGCAAGACACGTTACGCATCGAAATTAGGTACATTGCGATTGCTTTAACTAACGGTATTTGTATTATTAATCCTAATCCGAGTATTCCGCGAAATAATTGTGATTAATTCCGCAACCGAATCATTACGTTTCCACGTCCAAATTTACACAATCCGACCTTGACAACGAAAACCAAGGCTGCAGGTTGGTCGCACTTTGCGATTGTTTAAAAATAAATTGTGGCGCTACAAACATAATATGGTATCCTTTTTTTTTAATGCGAATTACTAGATCATTTTTTTGATTACCATTTTGATTAAATTACGAGAATGGAAACTATATTATTAGACGGTATACGGCAGACGTCCCTTATTATGGTTTACCACATCCGCACCACCTTTTAACTTTATAAGACTGTTGGCTCCTTAATTTTTTCAACTTCCTCTTTAAAATAGGAACGCCTAAAGGGATATAAATGTAGATTTTGTTCTCTTCCAAAACGTTAAAACATTGAAACTTTAATAACTGATGGCTTATGGTTTATGCCTTATCTTCTATAGCCTAAAGGCTTTTGCATTAGGTTTATGCCTTATCTTCTATAGCCTAAAGGCTTTTGCATTATGGACATTAAGTAGAAGATTTTCACTGTTGTTGACGCATTCGACACCTGCTGCACTACCAAAAAAATTACTGAATGAAGTATCTTCTTATATACGTACGTATGGAAATACCAAAATTGTGTAATACCAACAATTACTGAATTTATGAATGGAGTTGTGAGTACTATTTAGCATACCGGATGCCTGCACTTGCCCGTGTACTAAAATGAAAGTGTGTGTGGAAAATTGAGGTCAATACCTTCTCAACGTAAAAAAGGTTCATCTTTCTGTATTTTATACCATTGGAAGTAATTCGGTAGGAAGTAAAGTTTTATTCCGCAGTAGGTACTTATGGAACTTTGCTGTAGCCCGAGCAACGTCAAAGAACAATAAGCAGCACCAGCGGAAAGTGAAAAACGGTCATTTTCACCAGCGAATAAACTCCACCGATTTCGATGAATCTTTTTACCACCCACGAGTTAGTAAGGGGTAAAAATGACCCCCCCCCCCACTTTTTTTACGGAAATACACTTTTTGAAGCATCCTGAATACAAAATAACACTTCTATAGATCAATCCGGAACTTTTTTGCAGTTCTCAATGTCAACAGTTCTATGGTTATTTAACTATAACTTGCCACCCAAAACCTTTTTAGTAGCGCTTGGATTTTGATGATCTTTTTTTCGGAAAGTCTGAGCTCTGTTACACATAAATGTGTGTGAGGATAAATTGAATCAAATGACAGCAACTTGTCGGTGTATTTTTTGCCATTTATGAGGAATGGGGCATTTTTTGGTATTATTTTTATTTTTATTTTTTTTATTTTATTTTATTTTATTATCCCTCTCTTGTTTTTGGGCCCTCAACAGGCATGCGCGCCCAATTACAGTGTGACCCGCATAATGCTATTTAGAGGTGCCTCTGCAGAAGGTCTTAAGATGGTCTATACTACTCCGGTATTTACCTTACGAATTAGGAAAACTGTAGGAAAACCTAATTCGGAGTAGCCGGTAGAATGCTCGGAACTGGTCTAAGGTAATTTCCATCTCCGCCACAGATGAAAAATTCACCTCAACCCAGGTTCGAACACCCGACCTCCGGATTTATAACCCAATGCTCTTACCACTGAGCCATAAATCCGTATCTATGGTATTTCTAGCATTTTTTGGAATTTTTGTGTGTTTTACTTTCAATTTTTTGCATTTTTTAAAAAAAAAAAAATGTTCATATTCATCTTCATATGCAAAAACTGGTTCATACCGAACAGGTGGAGGATAAAGTGATAACAAATGGATAATTTCAGCACACGCTATAACCGCTACGGAAACGCATAATCTAGGAAATTATACAGTTATTTAGTAAATACCTACTGTGTGTTATATACTCATAACTAATTAGTTTGATTGAAATTTAAAGTAACACCTTTTTCAGAAATTACTTTCAAGAGAGCTAGATGAGATTAAAGTTGTCCAAAAAGGGCAGTTTTTATTCCTTGTTACAGCTGCCTTTTCTAGAGTTTTTTTTAGTTCGAGAAGTATTGATTATACCCTCAAAAACACGTGGGGACTTTATATAACCGTTAGTCCAGACTCTTTTAAGTCTTTCCTGTAAAGCACAGCACAATTGAAGACCTTGTAAAACCGTTTGGTTCACCCTAGACCTTTTTAACTAAACTCTCTCCCTAATTTTTATAGGTGCTCTTTT